CCATTCAGTATAACAGACTAAGATATAAGCTAATAATATAGAAATGTATTGTTGCAGTCCTGAATCAGCCTGGACAGTACTTTTAAGGTGTTCCAGTGTCCCACTTGGTATAGTGTAACAGACTGGGGGAACCACAGTAGTGGTGCAGCTCAGCTTAGTCAAATGAAAACATTGTGAATGCACCTCTTGCAGCTGCTATATGGTCCATGTATGACCCAGGAGCACAGCTCTGATCATTATATGTCTAAAAGCTATAACCAGTTTGACTTAGTATGAAATGTAAGATATATGGCAAGTATGTATATGCAGTGAAAATATTGCAAACAAATGTGTAAATATACCTTGAATACGTTGGTGCCTTACTGTGCCGATGTGAATATAGATACTAGATAGCAAGAACAGGTATGATGGCTTGCAACCCGAAATAAGAGCCATATATATAGCCTAGCTTCTCTGAGCCTATTGTCAGTCAAACTTGCATCGCTAGCAAGTAACAGTTCAATGGCTTTGTGTCACGTCATGCACAGTTGAAATGAAATAGCAGAAACTGTTCGATTATTATTGTACCTGTTGACAACGAAAGAGTAGACATTCCCAAGCACAGGCAGAGTACATGGAGCAACACTGTGAGATACTGGATCCTCGGCGTAGATCAGAAAGTTACAGAAGATAACAAAGTACGCAATAAACAGTCTAAAATATGGATGCTGAAAGTAATAACGGCTATTTTTCTTTTGGATTCGTACTCGACGTAATGTATTTCCTTGTACGGGCGTCTGTAAACAGTAATAATTATGAGATATGATTATACATACAACTTCTTTCAACAGCCCATATACTATAGAATGTACATACATACATACATAATAGACTTACCGCATCAATAGATTCGTGTTCAGCTGTTGTTTGGGCGTGATCTTCTGTTGATTTTGGTTGTTGTTCGTTTGGTTGATCTACTTCATCAACATCAGAGTTTTGATGATGTTTCGTAGGAGAAGACATTGTGTATATGACGGTACAGAACCAGGAATATCAGTTGTATGAGTCAACACTTCCGCAGAGGTTTTTGATTGAATCGAAAGCATAAAGGATTGACTTTTATAAGCAAGACAATAGCATCTGATGGGTTTACCTAATGTATTCCACAGGAAGCCCAACACGGACTTCTATTCAGTAAACAGTCAAGATATAGATTCAAAGATATTTTTGCTCCGAGTTAAAGATATATTTTTCAGATCTACCCACATTTCCATTTGAAATATATACTGGACTGACTACTGCTACTCAAGTCATGTCAAGTACATGGACTACAGTGAGGGAATGACAGAGTGAATGACAGTGCCACAGCAGCCCAATCTGCTCTCTATTCAGGTTCTCTTTTAAAATCATTTGGGCAAAATAGTCTATCTGGCATAGCTTTGTTCTTCTTTTTAATTTTTCAAGATATACAAGACCACTAAAAAAATCAATCAAAAAACACATAGAGCCTGGTGTTATAATACTTTTATTTCTCAATCAATTATTGCAAGTATTACACTTGAATTGCAGGAACAACACTCTGGAGACCTGCATTGACTGATACCAAGTTGTTTCTCCATTCAACTAAACGACCATGAAGACTTTTCCACTGATCTTGACCAAAGGTTCTTGGAGCTACAGAACTAATGGGGGAAATACACAGATTCAATTCATGTCTTTCTTGAGTGTATAAATGAAATTTATAAACATGAGATAAAGCATGAAAAGCAAAGATTTTGAAAAAGTGACAGTAGATTGTTAGTGATTTTCAGTGTAGGTAGTGTGATGGCAGGTTGTCAATAGGAAATTGCTAATGTAATGGTGACAGTGGTGTCAGGCAACACAGATTTGGGGGTCGTATTGTCTACTATTACCCATATACTAACCTGATAACTACTCTTTTGTTCATCTGATCAAGCCTGACTTTAACAAGTGATGTTTGGACAGCTGTAACATCAAACAATAAAGCAAGTTAACTCCTTGAAACCTACACTACTCAAGTGAAGGAATTCAGGATGGTATGCGGTAAAATGCCTGCTTCTCACCTCTGAAGGTCCAACATTAAATATTCCTAGTCACTGCATGTGACCTGAGTTGGTTGGTTCTCTATATCACTCTGAGTGATATTGAAAATTCTTCCCGACTTAATTTAGTTTTTCTTCCCTCCTAGCTCTCAATTAAATCAACCCTTATTAATTCAAACTGGTTAGAGCTGTGCTCCAGGGTTATACATTGCCTTTATAGTAGCTGCCATAGGTACTGCCTTCACATTGAGGGGTGCCACTGCTGTAGTTCAGTAGTGATTGGTGATAAACATGACATGTTGTGTTATCCTTTGTACATGGTATGTGCATCAGAGGTAACTACATTTCCTACCTTCAATAACAAAGCCTTCTACATCATCAACATTGATATCCAACTGATTTGCGAGCTCATCAAATGATATTTCATGCTTGTTTACTCCAATCTCCATCACAGTCAGAATACGCATTTTCTTCAAATTCAATTCATTGGATAGTCCTGAAAACACATGTACATAAATGTAGTCACATTCAACACCGACCAAACTTAAAACAAAAAATATAGCTAGCCTAAATATAACTTTTGACTGTGCCAAACATAGATTGACATGGTTCTCAACTGTCACTGGGAAGAACTGCACAGCCTACCAGTGGCTGGTTTGGGTCATTTTTGAGATATCAAATGTGAAGCATTATGGACTGTTCTTCAATTATTGCTTAACCATTATAGAAAAGGGGCCATATGATATCAACAATGAAATAATTGGGATAGTACTTGCACTACGATTGGTCGAGAACCATGTTTGATGAGGGTATCAAAACCCGCTCACGTCATCCTTTACAAATACATCGGAATAATATGATTATTTTTTTCATTTTTTGGTGTGTTTGTTATTTTATTCATGAATGATTGTCAAATCACTTACCAAGAGAATCAACAAATTCCTTGTTACTCTCATAAAAGCTGATGTAATCTTGCACATGACCAGAGACAAATATTTCTAAAAGCTGATGGAAAAAGACTTAAGTTACCCTCATTCTGAACATATTTATCGTAGAAATAAACAACTCTTGACTATCATAATTCAATGAAAGGTAGCTTAGTGATAGTGCACTTTTTATCTCTATGGTCTTGGGTTAAATTTTCTAATTCTAATTCAATCTGTGAGTTAGCCATGTCCTGAATCAGATCAGCCCAGAGTTTTTTTAAGTTTTTGATCTGTGAGTTAGCCATGCCCTGTTATAGATAGGTACAGAGGTTGTTTAAGGAATTGATCAAATTTGAAGATTTTTGTAATTATATTCAGTTACCTTGTAAATGGGTTCTCCCTTTAATGAAGCAACAGGTCTCAAAGCTATGATGTTATCCAAAATAAGGAGATTTGGTTTAGCCAGACAGCTAGTAATACAACTCTTAGCATCTTCCTTTGCGGTGGATGCATTTTGTTCTGTGTAAGTACTTAGCAGCTCAATCATCACATTAGATGCTTCCTCACTTTTAATGGAAAGAACAAGAAAAAACACTTTGCAGTTAACTACAGTGATAGCCTTTATCTCAATAGCCATTATCCCAATAATTATTAGACATTTATACTCAAAAGCACACAATTTATCTTAACAGCAAATAACTGTACCATAGATCTAAAAGAAATCACACATACCTATGATGCTCATCAATAAGAGCATTGTACAATAGCCTGTATATGTGGCGTTTGCCATCTGCATCACTTCCCCACATGTTTAACCACTCTTTCACTAGATCTAGTCCTGTGGGAATTTCATCAATAAGGCTTGCTTTGGATGCAATCATTAACTGTGCTGCATAAACATTGTATCTCATGGGATCTCTTTCTTGAAGCCCGCTGAACAACACTGACAAACTATTATCAACAAAATAAAATCAATGAGAAATAGTTTGAAACCATCATCATGATTCTGTGTTGAGTGATCATGTTAGGAGTGAATGATGTTTGAAGAGTCAAGCAACAACAAAACCATCTAACCTAACATAGAACAACTAAATACAACTAATTGAAGAAACGTAGTAAGGTTCGAGAAGGTCATATCATCGAAGCTAAGACCAAAAAGGATTTTGGGTACTCCGAAATGTGTATTATATTATTGCATATAGACATGTAAAAATGCACAGTAGAGCAAAGTCAGACAACCTAGCTAGATTAACAACATGCCAAAGCCATGATGCATAAAATGTGAACAGGAAGGGAAAACTGCAATATGCATAATATTGTTTGTCTTCCCATGCTCCCCTTTGGTCTTAGCTTTGATGACATAACCTTTTTTAAACCCCACAATGATTTTTCAATTAGGTGTATAACAGAGCAACATCCTGGAATGGCCTTCATAATATAGAAAATTATAAAACTACCATCATATATAATATTATGAAGGCATGGTTGCTTACATCCGTAATCTTGCAGATGCAGTAGGATCATCTGATGACAGCATAGTTGAAAGTTTATCACAGCACTTTTTGATGAGCTCATCTCTTTGTTCGGTGACTATCAGAACCAAATAAAGAATACTGTTCATAACACTCTCCATCTCTGTGAAAGATATCAATAAATCATTAGTACAAACATCTTGTAATTCAATCACTTCATAACTCATTAACTCACCTGCTTCATTCTTAAAACAAACTTCACAATAGTCTAACAGCTGAGAGAGTTCCTCGTGAAGAGGAGATACTGTTTCTTCACTGATACTGTCATCATTTGACTTGAAATATGATCTTATTTCTCTAACCTATATAAAGCAAAATGAATATCAACAACATCATCTACGATTGTTAACATTTACTGCACTTGGTCGGATAGGATTTACTTTCCATAGATCTCTTTCGATTTTTCAATACATTTTCCTTTGGACAAAAACAATAGACTTATATTTCTATCAAGAGATTAACATTTGAAATGAATTTACAACAACCATGAGAAGAAGAGATTTTTTAAGTCAAAAGACACGTATATCTAAGTTATGAATTTACTGCTCATCTTCTGCTGTAATGACATAATATCGTTAGGTCGATTCAGAAGACGGTTATTTCAGTACTCTAGTGTATATATTCACCTGATCTTCTTCGTTAGCGTCGATAAACGCCGGTAAAAATGACTCCATTTTTCAATCGAATGCACGAGTTTCTTACACGACAATGGGGATGACCGCTGATACTGCGGGCATCAAATCACAATGCATCATGGGACGGTTAGCCTTTACTTGAAAGACTAGGGAGGGGAGGCTAAGGGAGGGGAGGCTAAGGGTGGTTTTCGTGCAATTCTCATTAGTTTTTATTCAGGTATGTTTGATGTTGATTAATCCACGATCACCTGTAGAAAGGCTATTAGTGAAGCATCTAGCTGTCAAGATTAGTAAATCGGCAGTAAACATTCCTCCTTTGTACCCAAACTGATAGCAAATTGAATTGTTTGAAGTTGTCAGTCAAATTAGTGACAATGTTTACTTTTTTGAATCAACAGGAATAAAGGAATGTTTGAGATGCGAAACCTAACGTACCGATGTTGTTGGATTGTGCATCTAGTGCTGGGACGATACGCTTGATATCAAGTTATGTCAGGGCTTGTTGGACTTGTAACAGATACCCACACTCAACTCACATCAACTCATCGTAATAAGTCAACATCATGGGACACATGGCTTCCAATGTTACCAGATCTCTCTGCCAATTTCCCCTGGTCTTTGAACGATGTATCAAAGGTGTTAAGGCTCGGTCGAGCGCGCGAGCACTTTCGAGCCATATCCCCTCAAACGATAGAAAGAGTGTGCTTCTTGCTACAAAGACCCTTGCTTAGGATCGTCATAGAAGCAGAGAGATTGTCGCATGAAATGGAAAGATGCACAAAACGCGAGCTACAAACGAGTCTTCGATTAATACTCTCACCATCTTTGGCTAAAAACTGTCTACAAGTTGCTTCAAAAGCGCTTCTACTCTACTCTACATCCGGAGAGCAGCAGTTTCAACGATGCAAAAGGGCTCGTAGTGGACTCATATTTCCAGTAGGAAGAATATTTGGTTGGTTGGTTGAAATGAAAGTTTCACGTCGTGTTTATGATGCCGCCGCAATCTACCTGTCAGCTGCATTGGAATTCATAGCAGAAGAAACTGTGTACAGAGCGGTGCTGCTTACTAAAGGTACGATATTAATTGCTGTTATTGCCGTTGTTATTATCATTATTAGTTGAATTTATTATCGAATACACTATATATAATAATATATTATAATATATACCGAAATGCGCAGATACAGTGGACCAAGTCACTCCTGAGATGATTGAAGATTGCATCAATTCTGACCCAGACCTCTGGTGTTTGTATCAACCGTACGTTCACCTTTTATCGGGGAGAACATCTTTTGGATTGATTGATACTCTCGAGATTTATGCGTGCAGAAACAAAAGTATGTTAAGTGATTAACGTTAGTTAGGTATATCTACATATGTGACTGTCTTATTGTCGTTTAAAAAATACTAATTAGAGTACTAAGAAGAAAGCTAATAGAAAGTGCGCGTGTGTGCTGTGTGCTCTTATAATGCACGGGCTGCCAACCAATAAGAACGCGAGATTTATAACAGCTATTTTATACGTATCTTTAGTCATTGTGCCTTGGTTACGCATTCTGTCAATACTCTGTCAAAGCCTGATACACCATCTTTTAATGCTTGAACTTAAGCAAACTTGATTCTTATAAAGGTGATAAATCTACAACTAAACCTAAGAAAGCCATCGAACCTTACTTTATTACGACTTGTGTGAGTTCTGTGGACGAGTTGAAGGAGATATTGCCTCGTGTTCAACATCGTTTCAGTCAGATGGACCAGTATAAAGAGAATCGAATGTTATGTCAAGTGGAGTGGTTACCAAGTGCACTGGATACACTATTTTATTTCATGACCTGCCACCACAACCAGGACAGTAACATCCCAATACACATACTGTGGAACAATAAAAGGTAACTATAGTTGGTGTAACCCCAAGCAGTACACGTGAATATACCGCTGTCCACTATCGGCTTCTCTAAATCTCATTGTATATTCAGTTGTATTGTATTGTATCAATAATACTTAATGTTGTTGCGGCGGTATCCGGTACAGGACTCATCACGGTCTTCCACCTCTTACTGAATGGATTCGAGTGGCTGGTGTCCATGCAGATCACAGATCTAGTGGTATGGTGGATGATGATGACGTCAGACAAGCAGCAAGACTACTCCTGCCTTTTAACATTTGTAATTACCGAGTATTTGGGTAAGCCTTGTCAATTACATTATACTATATATGAGTATTGTACGCTTGTCAATGAGTTATTTCACAACGTTGTATAATGATTATCTTTTATTTTTGTAGGCCTGACAGTTCTCGCTGCGCTTCAAGGGCAATGACGTCATCAGAGGCAGAAATGTCCTTCAAAATGAACCTTGGATTGCGCATGCTCCTTAGCGGACGAAACGATCTGGTATCGAAAGCACTTGCGATCTCTGGAAACAACGAAGGAAATTCATTGGACGAAAGGGTATAAAAATTGCATCTTAGCTAATTTCCTTATAGGGAGGCGGGGGATGGGGGATAAGTGGCGGTATTCTTGTATAAGGAGGATCAGGGGCAATGGCGAATGAAAACCATTTGTTTTATTTATCAGTGCTTGACACCACTAATGTATGCCTGTGCGCAAGGGAACACTGTTCTTGTTCAAACAATGGTGAACAATCACGTCCTATTGGACACCAAGGTAAAGTGAACTAGCCCTGCCCTTGTAGTTTAACATCAAGTAAATCTAGGATGCTTAAATCCCTCATTAACTAAGAATCTGTTTTGTTGTGCAGGTTCCCCGAGACAAAAAACCTTACCCTTTATGCGACCCAGGTCTCTCTTCATGGACGGCTCTATCTTTTGCTGTAACAAAAGGACATTTAAAGATCTGTCAGATGTTATTGGATGCTGGCGCAAATGTTGACGGTGCTCTCGATACCAGTGACATTAGTGAAGGAGTGGAAACACCGTTACAAATGGCTGTAACAGCAGGTGAATGGTTCTAGTAAATGATGTGGTGCAAAATAGCTTACTTATTATTCACCATGTATTCCTTGCTGAATGTAGGTAACTATGACCTGGTCGCTTTGCTGTGTGCTCGTAAGGCGGATGTTAACGTTGTTTTTCCTGTTGGTGTTGGTAAACTTGGATTTGGTAGTCCCTTTGCCGCGGCTGCAGCGTTTGGTTATCGTAAAATCTTACGAAAGTCGCTCGCCGAAGCTCCTTCTACTCAAGAAGATGAGATGATGTCATTAGCAGAGATTCTAGCTGAAGGTAACTTCTGTAGACAGGGTGATGTGCATGTTCCGGTGGAAGGAGAGAATATAGCGTCATTAGCCCAAGCGATTATGCAAACGAGATTTGGGGCATCGAAAGCTTGTTCACTTAAAATTCTACAAAATGCTTCTAGAGGTGACTAAGAATTGACTAAATATTGGCTCAAAATTATGGAGTACTCTTCACAATGATGAAAAGAAAGACGACAGACCAAAAACATTACAACTGTTTACATACATCTATTAATGCATGCTGACAAGAGAAAATATAAAATAATCAACTTATGAATGAAGATTAGTTTATTTATTAGTTAATTTAATTGATTTGGATCACCACCTATGTACTTTTTATAGTATAAAGTGCGAAATAAAAACAATATTGTATTGTATTGTAACCCTTTGACAACCTTCTGACAGGGTCACCATCTTGCCTGGATAAAGCTAAACGTTCTCTAAGTAAGAAAAGATGCAGAGCTTTACAGGTGGGTGAGTGGGACCGTACTCGGCTTCTATGACGTCAGTATGATACAGTCTTAATGTTACATCCTGATCTCTTGTTATAGGAAGCCATGTATCATAGTTGTGAACATGGCTATTTAGACGTTGCTATGGAGATAAGAAGTCTTGGTGAGTATTTTCTAAGCTCCTTTTTGATCTTTTTTCCGAGCAATTCACACTTCATGACATTGGTTCTTTTATTCTTACTAGGAGTATCATGGAACCTTCACTGCTGGTCTCAAGCTCTTTTCCAAGCTTACAACCTAAACATTACGTCATCTATGACTTCACAGATTCGATGTTTACTACGTGATTTTCACTCCATTTCACAATCGGACTATACCGCTGAATTTTGTGACGATGGACTCACTTTGCTCTTTACGATATTCAAGGAATGTCAGGTGAGACTATATGCCTTATAACTGTCAGATCATGGTTAACTCATTTACACCAATCTGTGTGTTGATTGTACACAGGATCAAGAGCTTTTGCAAGAACTGGCCTCTGTCCTCTCCAGTTGCTATGGTGACGAGTTTTTGCCACTGATAAAAGAACTACCGAGCACAACCACAGAAGTAATAAAGATAGGTAGTAAAATAACTGTAAATTAAGTCCCTACTCATCGTGCACCTGACAATTAAGATAATTGTGATTGACAGGTGCCAATTACGTGAACAATCACGAAATGGCTGACGTCACGTTTATCGTTGAAAATCAACCCTTCTACGGACACAGGATCATCCTGACAGCTGCTTCTAGTGCTTTTAAGGTACTTCTTCACACTTTTATTTATTAATTATTGATATTTCCTTTTCAGTATATACTAAAACAGGTGTATTTTCAACAATCTAGGGGGCTTTACTATCAAAATAACAAAAATATTTCTACTTGATTTCTATCTTTTATTTTTATATACAACGTTTTTGCCGTCAAGTGTTTACAACATAATATATAACTGATGCTGTCACGTGATGATTGCAGGAGATTCTTTCTTCGAAGCCACGTGATCATCAGGATTCGAGTATCGAGATCCCGGATATAAAATATGACATTTTCTCGGTAGGTCCATCTTCAGTTGACTCAAACTAAAATATTTACTTTATAATAATCCATGGGCTTGTTGATATCATTTCAACAGCTTTTGATGCAACATGTGTACACGGGACGAGTAGACGACATAACAGCAAAGCACGCTGGGAAACTGGTCGAGGTAATTTAGCTTAACCGTGTGGGATAAGCTGAATAACGGTTACATATCCTGGTCGTGTTCTCATTTCAGTTACTCCATGCTTCGTTCGTGTTCAAGTTGAAAGCTCTTCAACGTCACTGCGAAAAGCTGCTATCAGAAAACGTGCACAGTAAAAATGTGATAAAGATATATAAATGTTCCAGAGTAAGTAAGCCTTGTCAATGATTCAGGTTTTCCACAGCTTGGATGGTTACTATGGTTATCTATGACTGACTGGTGAAAGAATTTATTTGATGGTAACTGATTTATGTCCTGGGTTTTTTTTCTAGCGCTACAAAGCAGACAGCCTTGCTCTTTATTGCGAGTGTTTTATTCTATCAAACATGAAAGACGTGGTAGTGCATGGAGATTTAGGTGCACTGATCTTGACTGACCAGGGGTCAGCGGTAAGCCAAATAATACTTGTTTTTGCATAGAAACCATGCTGTTTTTTTTCTTGTTTAGCTCATGTTTTATTTACCTACATTTTAGACTTTGTCCTCACTGCATCGTTGCCTGTCTGAACGTATCAAGGCAAGAGTAAGTAGTTCTCCACGGAAATCGTTATTTTGAACGGTTCAAGATCAAGGTCACGGCAACCACAAACCGACTGACCGACCTACCATGCGTGCTATTTTTGTCTTCTTCACGAATAATCGCATTCAACTAAATTTAGAGATAAAGTTTTCAATTATATATAATATATTTCTATATTTGACCCGATGAACGACGGGCAGTGTTGAATGACACAGCGGGAACACCTGATGGTTAACGTTTCATCTTATTGTCTCATAAGAAAGATAAACACTAAAGTCTTGATCATGAAGCAGCAATTTTTTACTTTTTAAAAGAAAGGAAAAAAATGGATAAACTAGTGGTGTTCCTCGATCTGTACAATCCGGACATCAGAGTTTTGTCGACATGGTTATTTGGGATGTCCCGCGTGAGACGGGATTACGTGGGCGTTTAGTACAAATAAAGTAGTCTTGTGGTTGAGCCAGCATCTCATCTATTATTAACAAGCTAGAAACAAACTATAGTATACACAACACAATGAATCAGCTTATTCATATCAACCAGTATACTATTAACTCTGTCATTACTCGACGTACGTACGGCAAGACCTGACCTGACTAAGATAATGGCGCAAAACTACATTGGTTCATATGAATACAGCACTGAAAACACTGCCATCAACAGATCAATGAAGTTTTCAGCGGAGCGCAAGGGAGTGCGCTGGTCATCCAAGCTGGTAGAGGTTTTGTATTTTGACCCAAGTTCCCATACGACACTGTTAGTACAAAGATCGTGTACCGCGGCCAAGACATTGGAACAAGCACTGATAAGTGTAGCTTCTGCACAGTATTTGGATACAAATGTTGTAACGAATAGTGAAATGCTACGAACATATGCTATGCAAACACAGGAGGAAGAATGGGTATAGACAAGGCATCATGAGCATTTATTTAAAGCCTTTGGTCGCTACTATATATATATGACGTATTTTATGGCCATGTGCATGCATTCAGGAACAAACTTGTTTGTATTGCGCAGTTTGCTAACTCGGGGGGTAGGAAATCCGGGATGAGTAACTGAGAATGATGCAAGATCTGGCGATGACTCAAGCTACAGAAAGAGTGAAAATTACTTTATGTTTTGACATATAAGTAACAATGAATGTACAGGCCAACTGAGCCATACAAGACAAAAATAGCTGTTATGATAAATGAACCGTATGCAGACAGGTGTTCAACGACAAATGTACCACAAGTACTTGCAAACCCGATCTTTCTAGAAATTTGTAGAAGTGGACTTTGAAACTATATATAATTAACAAGATTAAATGTGAACCAATGACTAGCACGTTAACAAAACAGATCTTGATAAGCTTAGTTTATGTATTCCTTGAGATTTAGACTCAATACAAGAGCTATAAATATTTCTAATTACCGACGCATGCCCTTGGCATTGACCTAAGATAACGCTAAGATCTAAAGATGTAACAACGAAACCTTTTGCTGGGCTGGGATAGACTGGCAAGTTATAGACAATATTATTTTCCAAAATAAATGAAATTATCCAATTTGAATCAGTAACTATTGTTCTGGACTGACTAAGGCATTTCACTTGTAATAACGGGTTGGCGTTTTCCTCTTTCATGAGCGAAGAAAGGTCTAAAAAAAGACAGGGAGAAGAAGCAACGGGACTGAATAAATAATTATGGAGGGAGAAACTGCCAAAAAGTTATGAAGGGGGAAAATGGCATCAAACATAGGGAAGAGAATATTGAAATGTATGTTCCTCTCCACAAAGGACTGAAAAGATCCAATACTCCATTTTACAGTTCCGTTCGAGTGACCACAAATAATAGTTGCAAGTCGAGGCTGCAGCTTCCGCGCATAGCAAAACTATACTTTTTATCATGCGCAGAAACTCCAGCCTCGGCTTGGAACGGAACTGTAAAATGGAGTATTAAGCACTGACGTATCCATTAATTTTAGAGGGGAGGGGGGACTATTACAAAGCTTTTTCCTGGAATGCTAGAAAAAGGGGGTACCTAGCCATCCTCTTCACCATCCCTGGATCTGCCCCTGTGAAGATAACTGAATATGTCACAGTTGTATTCAAAAGGTATACCAAGAGAGCATAAATATACTTTGTTGGGTAAACAGTATAAAAACACATTAAAACAACTTATTTCCTGGTCAAGCTCTGGAAAATATTCAGTATAGTTAAATCTTTAATCGTTGGATATTAAACTATAGGATATTTTAATAAGATAAATCAACCTTTATTTTGCAAGATTTCAGGGTAGACCATAAGACGACAAAGTCCATCAATAGGAGCCCAGGATATATTAATTTATTATATCTATGACAACAACAACTTTACATACTGTAAAGGGTGGATGGGGCAAATCATTCATAGACTAATGAAGAGGAAATGATTTTCTTTAGCTAACAAAAATCAAAAGTGAATTCATCAATGTAAAAAGAAACTCTGATAAATTATGAAGATATATTAGCAAAGCCAAGTGGCAAAGTGTAATGTAATGGAGTGTTTAGTTGCACTTTTTCTCTTTACTGTAGGCTTTCTGGTAAAAATTAAGAAAGAGTACAACCAAGCTGCACATGTAGGCGCTCTGGAGCCACAGAAACCCATTAGGAAAACCACAGTTCAGATGTATGCCATAGTTAGTATGAACAACCACCACTGAGAACTGTATCTGTAAAAGCAGTAAGATATAAATGCACTAAAGTATACACAACACTCTATGATTAATGATTTAGATGCTTGACAGTATACAGAATAATACAAACTAAAGAAGACAATTTGGATCAAATGGTTTTATTGTACACCTGGTCACTTTTTAATACAACATTATGATGTTTATCTCAATCCTGTGTGTTTCTTATTGTAATAATCTTTAAATCACTGCTTCCAGTTTATGTAATAATGCAAAATATCAATGAGAACTGTGTCTTATTCATTCAATTTAGCCCTAGTTTTTGGTTTGCAAATTAAATGTGCAAGGCTTAGTCATCAATTTTAGGTACAAAACTTTAAGTAACTAAAAGTGGTGAAGTATTGTTACTGCACTTTCTTGTTCTTTTCATCACCCTTTTTAATGTATGTCATCATATAAAAGTGAGAAAAAA